GGGAGTTGTAGTCCGCTTGTCCCGGCTCCGTGAGGGGATCCCAGAAGGCCGGGATGGGTCGGGCTGGAAGAGCCCCCAGTGTGTCCCGTGTGTCCCACGTCCCTGCCCAGCAGCGCCATCTCACAGTACGTGGCACAAGACTGTGAGCAGATGGCTTCGGGATATCCCCGGGGAGGGAAGCTCCACACCCTCTGTGGGACCTGTGCTCGGTCAGTGCACGGGGATGAAGTTCTGCCCCATGTCCGGGTGGAACTCCCTGGGCTCAGTTCCTGCCCGTTCCCCTGGTGCCATTGCTGGGCCCCCAAAGCAGAGCAGGTCCCTGCTCGCAGGACACGCAGGGTTGAGGGCCCCTCTCAGCTGGGGAAGGTGTCCCTGCCCATGGCAGGAGTTGGGACTGGATGATTTTTAAGGTCCCTTCCAACCCAAACTGTTCTGTGATTCCGAGATGCATTGTCTCGATCTCTTTTCCAGTCAGAATCACAAAGCCTGGGCTGACAGAGATATTTTTGGTCTGTGCTAGGGTACCTGGTACAGGTGCTCACAGCTCTGGGTGTGTGGTGCCCCTTTTGAAACCTGCTCTAATTCAGGAAACTGCCCTAATTCCTGCCATTCACTTTAGAGTTGTTCAGGAGCGAGAAGCGTAAACTGAGCCAGCAGCAATTGACCTTTATCACACCACAACTGTCGTGTCCAACCTGCCAGGAATGAAATGAATATCGCAGCGGGTGAAGTGAGTGGCTAAATTTGTGTCTTCAGACCCATACCCATCTTAAGTATTAATCTGGGGAGGCACCTCCTGACAGCCTCTCTCTGCTGCTGCCCCGGGCTGAAGACGTCCCATGGTTGGTACAGCTCTGCTGGAGTCGCTTGTGTGCGAGGGTCAGCGAGCAGGGCTGGCTTAAGCTCCTGGTGCTGCCGCTGGAATGGGGTCAGAATCCTCAGAGTTCCACTCAGGCAGGAAAATGAGCTTGGTGGAAAGCACAGCCGGGCACTGGGACTGGTCTGAGCTAGGAAGGAGCTGCAGTGGGTGCAGGACTAACCCTTTGCTGCTTGTGGTTGAGGTTTATGTGTTTATCCCTTCTCGTCTGGCTTTTGAGATGCTGTTAGAACATGTGCATGTTCCTGTTACCCATTCTTTTGGGCATCCTTTCTCCTGTTTTCCCGATCCTTGACTGTGCTTGTTTTGTGCCATTTACCTTGATGACATGAAGCCCAGGAATCCCGAGCAGGCCTTTTTGGTGCTACAGGATACAAAATAAATTGTTATAATTAAGAGCACAGAAGGACAGACCTAGTAAAGAATGTATTTCTCCTTCAAAGCCCTTCAGAAGAAGCTGAAGGAATGAGATCATGTTAAGTTTTTTATTTAAGGGACATCATTTGTCCAGAACTTTAGTAAATTCACACTGACAGAGAACAGATTTAGAATGGGTGTTAGGAAGAAGTCCTTTCCCTGTGAGGGTGGGAGGTCCTGGCACAGGGTGCCCAGAGCAGCTGGGGCTGCCCCAGATCCCTGGAAGTGTCCAAGGCCAGGCTGGACAGGGCTTGGAGCACCCTGGGACAGTGGAAGGAGTCCCTGCCATAGCAGGGGGTGGGACTGGATGTGCTTTAAGGCCCCTTCCATCCCCAAACCATTTATTCTATGCCATTTTTCCATGTACAAGACAGAAGCTTGAACAAAATCCTGCTCTGTTACGACTCAGTGAAGAACCCAGAATCTCTGTGGCATCCCCACGTGAAAGGGGGGAATTTCTGTTGTGCTTTTGTTGTGTTTCCCTTGACCCCATTTCCCGGGGAGCTGAGAGTGAAGCCTCCCTTTGTCGTTGCTCTCCGCAGTCCCACCGCAAGTTCTCCGCTCCCAGGCACGGCCACCTGGGCTTCCTGCCCCACAAGCGGAGCCGCCGGCACCGGGGGAAGGTGAAGGCCTGGCCCAAGGATGACCCCAGCAAACCAGTGCACCTGACAGCTTTCCTGGGCTACAAGGCTGGAATGACCCACACTGTGCGGGAGGTGCACCGGCCTGGGCTCAGTAAGGCTCTGCTGCAAGGGGCCACGTCAGCGAGGGAAAGGAGGGAATAGGCTCCTTGGGAAAGGCTGTTTATGGAAAGGGGTTGGTGGAGCCCACAGTTGTAGGTTAAATCTAGGTTATCCAGATCTTGGATGGTCAAAGGCCACAGCAGCATGGGCTGAGTGTGGGGGGTTTTCCTGGAACTCTCCACACTGGGATGGTGAGTGGTGGTTTGGGAGGTGGGAAGGCTGCGGCTGGCTGAGGCTGAACGTGACCTTGCTCCCAGCACTCTCTGTGACAGTGGGAATCCTCCAGAGATCCTGGATCCTCCAGGGATCCTCCTGATCCCAGAGGATGCTGGGCACCGCTTCCCTTTGCTGCCTTGCAGAGATCTCCAAGCGGGAGGAGGTGGAGGCCGTGACCATCATTGAGACCCCCCCGATGGTGGTGGTGGGGGTGGTGGGCTACATCGAGACACCCAAGGGCTTGAGGAATTTCAAGACTGTATTTGCCGAGCACATCAGCGACGAGTGCCGGCGGCGCTTCTACAAGAACTGGTATGTGCTCCTGAGAAGGGTCATTGAACACTGGAACTGCCCAGGGGGGTGGTGGAGTCACCACCCTGGAGGTGTCCAAGGGACACCCAGATGTGGCACTCGGTGCTCTGGGCTGGGTGACAAGGTGGGGATCAGTCACAGGTGGGACTCGAGGATCTTGGAGGGTTTTTCTGACCTCAGTGATTCTGGGACTCCCAGATTCTGGGTTTCCTGGGGGGGCTGCCTGTGAGGGATCTCTGGCAGGAATTCCACAGGCTCTCCAGGATGCCCAAACAGCTCAGCTCAGCTGCCTATTTAGTCATGCACAGGGGCATTGCACACAGCCCGATGCTGGGGAGCAGCGTTTGCATATGTAAATTTATTCTAATAGCCGAACCAAGTTAGCTCTCTCCACAATATCGCATGGCAGGTTCCTTTTCCCTCGTGCCTCTCGGGCTCGTCGGCTCCCCACTTAACTGGAATCCTTGAGCTGGAGTGAAACCAGATTTGCCAGGGGGAAAATTGATGCAGAACGTGGCCCCTGGCCCTCATAAATATCAACACCCCTCAGCAGAGAGGGAGGTGGAAACACGGATTTCCTCGCTGTTGGAATTGTGTCTCCTGTAACAGTGCCATGGAGACCCTCCCACCACATCCCTGCTTTCTCCTGTCAGCTCTTTTCACTTCTCATCCTCTTCCCACCCAAAGCCCTTGGCAGCCAGGTGAGGCTCAGGTGTCCACAGGTAGCAGGGAAGTGCCTTTGTGATTTCCTGGCTGCGGGAATCTCCTGTAGCAGTGCCGTGGAGACCCACCCACCACAAGCCAGCCTCTGATCCCTGCTTTCCCCCGCCTCCGATTTTGCGCCTGTGTTTTGATGGCGCTGAGTCAGTCAGTGGGAGACAACTGCATTCCTCATGCAGAAAGGTTTGAATTACCCTTGAACAAGCCCGTTTCACGGCTCATTATCCACTTCCCTCTTCCCACCTCGAGGTCCTGACAGTCAGGTGAGGCTCAGGTATCCACAGGTTGCTTGTGCCTCGAGGAGGTGGCTGGCAAGGTGACCCGTCCCCTCTCTGCAGTGTCACAAGCCCTTTATCAGCTCTGATGGATGTTAAACCGCTTCTGTCCCTAGGCACAAGAGCAAGAAGAAGGCTTTCACCAAGTACTGCAAAAAATGGCAGGATGAGGCTGGGAAAAGGCAGCTGGAGAAGGATTTTGCAGCCATGAAGAAGTACTGCAAGGTTATCCGTGTCATTATGCACACGCAGGTCAGAGCCTCCCCCTGGGGGCTTCCTCAGCTCTGAAGGGCCTGGAAATGGGATCAGGGGGTGTTTCGGTGGGGTCACAGAGGCTGAGAGAGCAGAGGGTGTGAGATGGGTGATGGGAGGTGCTGGCTGACCTTTCCAGCTGCCTCCTGACCTCCCAGTTCCCTCCCAGAGCTTTCTGCTCCAGGTTTGCCATGGGACTGTGGTTTGGGAACACGGGGGACCCCCACATCCTGATGGGAGCCCACACACCCCGAGGAGGAGAGCAGGAGGAGGGCAGAGCCTGGGCAGCTCCTGAGTCCTCGTGTCAGCAAGGGACCTTGGACCTCATGATCACCTCAAATTAGCAACTGGTGTCAAATGTTTTGGGCAAAAATAACCCCATGGGCAGGCACAGTTTTGCCAGATGCTGATTGCTGGATCCACGGGAGTCCATTTGAATGCTGATCCCTGGAGTTAAGGGCTGCTTTGGAGTCTGGGGGAGAGCTAAGCTGGCTCAAGGCCAGACAGGGTCTCTGGGCTTGAAGACAAGGAGTTGGCTCCATAAAATCCCAGCTATAAAGACCCAGGGCTGCTATGAAAGGGGCTGAGTGTGGCAGAGAGGTGAAGCCGTGGCTCTGCTCACCCCTGTGCCCCTCACACATTGTGAGTGACCCAGCCCTGCTGCACCCTCCTGTCTGTGGGGCGAGGGGCCACCCTAAAGCACGGTGTGCTGCAGATGAGGCTGCTCCCACTGAGGCAGAAGAAGGCCCACATCATGGAGATCCAGCTGAATGGAGGGACAGTGGCTGAGAAGGTCGACTGGGTCCGGGAGAGGCTGGAGAAGCAGATCTCTGTGCACAGTGTCTTCAGCCAGAACGAGATGATCGATGTCATCGGCGTGACCAAGGGGCACGGGATGAAAGGTGCAGGGGTTTGGGGCTGTCCTTCTCTCATGGTGGTTTTGGGGTAGGAGAGTGTCAACCACGCTGGGAACCCCCAACTTTTTGTAAAGGGAGTAGCAAAGAGCCTCAGGCATTAAGCATTACATCCAGTTCTGTTGTGGCAGAGCTCGGTTTCCTTAATCCCAGGGATTCCAGCAAGGGAAAAATTCAACAGGGTGATCTTTGATGTAGATACAAAGGAGCTGACAAGGTAATTCTGGTGGAAAGATTTTCCCTGAGATTAAGGGCAGTGAAAGCTGTGGTGTTTGTTGTGCCCAGAGGCCTCCCAGGAGACTGTCAGTACATAAAACAACCAGGTCTGATGGGAGGTGTTGGTTGGAACTGCATGGTTTCTATGGTCCCTTCCAACCCAAACCATTCTGTGATGGTGTGAGTGTCTCACAAACCCCACATGTGCAGGGCTGTGGGCATCCCTGGGTGTGTGCATGGAACACCTCCCGGTCTGATCAGAGCCCTGGGAAGTGAGAACAGCTCCTCTGGGAACTGCAGGAGAGCAATGGGATTGTCCCTCAGGAGAGTGATGGGACTGTCCCTCAGGAGAGTGATGGGACTGTCCCTCAGGAGAGTGATGGGATTGTCCCTCAGGAGAGTGATGGGACTGTCCCTCAGGGGAGTGATGGGACTGTCCCTCAGGGGAGTGATGGGACTCTCCTTCCCCAGCCCCAGCCCCTCCCTGTTGACTCTGTCTGCTGTTCCCACACTCCCAGGGGTCACCAGCCGCTGGCACACCAAGAAGCTGCCCAGGAAGACACACAAGGGCCTGCGGAAGGTGGCCTGCATTGGGGCCTGGCACCCAGCCCGCGTGGGCTATTCCATCGCCCGGGCTGGCCAGAAGGGCTACCACCACCGCACTGAGATCAACAAGAAGGTATGGCCCAGGGGGGGCTCCCTCAGGCCTCCCATCCCATCACCATCCTCCTTCCCACGGTGCCCTCAGCTCCCCACATCCTCACAGATGTTTCCCCGGACATCTCCATGTCTGTCCTGGTGCTTTTCCGCTGCTGGAGGGCACACCTTGTGATTCTGTGGGGGATTCTGTCACCCTGTGAAGCCCCTCAGCAAGGGGCAGGAGATCCTCCATCTCCACTGGAGATTTAACACGTTCTGGTAAATTCCCAGATTTACCGCATTGGCCGTGGGATCCATGTGGAGGATGGCAAAGTGGTGAGGAACAACGCCTCGACACACTACGACATCACCGAGAAGACCATCACGCCTCTGGTGAGGGCTGAGGGGTGACAGGACCCTCCTGACTCTCCCAGCCAGCTCTCCTGCCCACCAACCCCTCTGCTCTCCCCACAGGGTGGTTTCCCTCACTACGGGGAGGTCAACAATGACTTCCTCATGCTGAAGGGCTGCGTGGTGGGCACCAGGAAGCGCGTGCTCACCCTCCGCAAGGTGAGAGCACCAGGCTGGCATGGGCTGCAGCTCCCCAGGAACACATTCCCCACATGGAGAACCCTCCAAATGCTGGGCAGGGACACTGGGAGGGTCCTTGGTGCTGTGTCACACCTGAGTGTAGTGCTGAGGACATTGGCAGGTGGATGGAGCTGGAGAGCTTCAGAGCTCTGAGGGCTGTGGTTCATTTCAGAAATGAAACCTTGGATGGTCACAGAAAGGTGACTGGGCACTGGATTGGGCTGCCCAGGGACGTGGTGGTGGAGTCACTGGTGTTTAAGGACAGACTGGATGTGGCACTCAGTGCCATGGTCTGGGTCACAAGGTGGTGACATGGGTTGGACTTGGTGATCTCAGAGGTCTTTTCCAGCCTGGTTGATTCTGTGAAATGCTGAGTGAAGAGCAGCTCTGCAAGCTCTCCACCAGCTGAGCACCAGGGTGCTGCTCTGAGAACACAGATTTTTGAGGAGATATTTGTTTAGAGGACATTCCAACCCTGCTTCCATGAGTCCTGACTTCTGTGGCAATTCTGATGTTGTGACTGTTCTTTCCCAGTCCCTCCTGGTGCACACAAGCCGCCGGGCCCACGAAGCCATCGAGCTCAAATTCATTGATACCACTTCCAAATTCGGCCATGGCCGCTTCCAGACAGCTCAGGAAAAGAGAGCTTTCATGGTGAGTTCCTGGGGCCTCCAACTCATCGTGGGGCCACAGCAAGTGACTGACTCCCACCCAGCATCTTCCAGGTGTCCATGGGCAGGGAGGTGGAACTGGATGAGTCTGATGCCCCTTCCGACCCAAACCATTCCGGGGTTCTGTGATTCCGTGATCCTGTGATCTGTTTCTCCATACAACAACAGCCAAATGAATGTTTGAGACTCTCTTGCCTAAAGGCAGCCATGAATTCAGTTCACACAGCAGAAATGATGAAGGAAGAACAGGATGGGTGTGTGAGTGATCCAAGACAACTCAACCAGCAAATAAAAGACCATATGGGCAACCAGTTCCCATTCACCATGGGAAGTTTTAAACAAGCAGTTAACTTGGCAGGCACTGTCTTGGCCATATGGTCCCTGTCACTTGGAATTGTGCACTGCTTTGGTTTGTTTGGAATGATTTATAGCTTTAATGTTCTTACAGGAAAAAAAAGTTTGGGTCAAATTCAGATGCAAATTTGTGGTGCTTTCATCAGAAGCTTTCAAGAAGGCCAAGCAGTGTATTTTTCTTAAATCCAGGGCAAAAAAATATAATTAAATCATCAAAGCACAGCAGTTTCCTGAATAGTTTTTCAGCCTTCACCAGGCTGGTGTGAATCTGAGTCTGAAGTGGAGGAAGCACTGAGTAAACCAGGAGAGGGAGAAGGGAAAGAAACAAGTGCCTGAGTCCCACGCAGATGTAAACTGGGTCTGGCCTGTCAGCCAGAAATGCCATGTGAAGCTGGCTAAGCCTCCTTAGTGCTGGCAGGGGGATTGGTTAGGCACTGCCTTTGCAGAGCTCTTTAGAGGTTAAGCTGATTTCCTTCAGCTCAGGGTCAGGAGCCTGTTGTGTCACTGCCAGCCCTGAGCTGCTGTGACAAGGACCTCGGTGACAGGAGGAGGTTTGACCTGGCTGCAGCTCTTTTCTGTGCCATTCTGCCCTGTGGATTCTGTGCTAAAACATCCCATTTGTCTGGAAGTTGAGGGACATAAGTAATTCCTGCCACCTGCTCCCACAGGATTGATTTGTTGTGGGATAACCCCATTTTCAAGCTGCTGGCCAGAGCAGCTTTTCTGGTCACCACAGGCCAGACACAGCCGTGGAGGCCAGGTCTGTGTGTCCCTAAATCCAAACTCTCCTCTCTGCTCTCTTCCAGGGCCCCCAGAAGAAACATTTGGTGAAGAAGCCAGGTGTGCAGGAAGATCTCTAAGGATGGAGAGCCAAGGCTTCCTGACTGGGCACTTGCAATAAAGGGGCTCCAAGCCATGCCTGCTCCCTCTCTCCTTCTGCAGGGGTGTCTTGCCTGTTTTCAGCCTCCTCAGCAGGTGGGATTGGGAAAAGTGGCATTTGGGACTGGCCCACATGGACAGGGACAGCCAAGTGCCTGCTCTCTCCTCTGGACCTTCCATTTCCTTTACCCAGTGAATTTTCCCTCAAATCCCTCACCCAAATCACCACAAAGACTCCCCTTCCCCTTCCAGCAGAGAGCAGAGCACGTACCAGCACTTCTGCACCAGTTTCCACTGGGAGTACAGGGCCTCCCCACGCCCTGCCTCTGCCCAGGCTCCCTCACTGTCCCCTCAGTGCCTCTCCCACACACCTCCAGCACTGCTTTTGCCAAGCTGGAGGTGCTTCTCCCTGCTCAGAGCCCCCTGATCCTGCCAGAGGTGGGGATTTGTGTAGAACAAGAGGGCTGCTAGGCAGGGCTGGGCAGCGATGGATTTATTCACTTGGGATCCTTTCCCACCTGTGCTTTCCTTGCAGCCCAGCTGCCTGTGGGGAGCGGGGGGATGCCCCAGAGCTGGGAAATTTGGATCAGTGGTGATCCCAGTTCCTTTGGTGCCGTGATCCAGGTGTCCTGCACCCTCTTTGGGAACCAGACAGTGGGAAAGCCCAGCCCTCCACTGTCCAGAGCTGCCTGCTTGACCAGGAGTCCTGGGAACGTGGCCATGGAATTCCTGGCTCTCCAGCAGCCTGGCTGTGCCCTGAACGTGTGCTTGCAGGATCTGAGGAGGCTCATCTGCAGAAGCAGAGATGGGGATGAATCCAGGCACAGCCCTGGGTGCAGTCAGTGGCCAGGCCCCGGCTGTCCCCGTGTCCCAGCGAGGTCCCTGAGCTCTGGGCAGTGTCCCTGCCCCTGGGGTGCTGCTTCAGAGCCTCCTGTCCCCCACGGCTGGCGGGTCCTGGGGCAGTCCCGTGCTGGGTGGCCAAGGGTCCAGGCCAGAGCGCATGATGGGAATGATGAGATCGTCCATGTTTGGCATCACCAAAATTTTCTGCGAAGTGGAATCCAGAACAACAAATCAGTGGGTTTGAACACCACGGGGACACTGCCTGGAGGTGGCTTGGCAGGAGCCACGCCCAGGTCAGGGGCTGTGAACTGGAGGTCCTGGGCTCCCAACCCTGCAGCAGCAGCCCCAGGAGGGTCCCAGCTCTGTGTATCAGCGTGGGGACAAGCAGGAACAGTTTTTCTTTGCCCAGCCCACCTCCATGGCAGCACAGGGGAGAGACCAGCATTTTGAAGCCATCCAAATGGGTGGCTTTTAGGGGAGCCCTAAATATCTGTCGGGAAATTTCTGCTCTTTGAGCAGAGGTGGGAGGCTGAACACAAACCCTTGGGAATCCCAAACATCCCCAAACCAGAACGAACAGGTGGATTCAGCCCTTCAGGAGGGTGTCTGCCTGGGACTGCCTGACACCCCAAACCCTCCCTGCTTGGGGCAGGGCTGAAAATAATGGGAGAAAATCACTTTTCCTCAGCCCTTGAGCTTGTTATTTGGGTTCTGTGTCTTCACTGTTCCAAGCTGGCCAGACCAGACCAGGTATTGGCTTTTTGCAGAAAGAACTGAGGTTGACTCAGCAATGCCTGAGCCTCAGCAGGGTTTGCTGAGCCCCCAAACGACAGCCCAGGCACCTGAAATTCGTGCTTCAGCTTCTTCTCGATCCACTCGGTGACGTGCAGGAATGTCACCTCCCGCTCACCCAGCTTGGGGCGCACCTTCAGCTCCAGCTGTGGGGGCACTCGGAAGCTGTACCTGTGAGGGGAAAGGAAAGAGGCAGAAAGCATCACCTGCTGAAGGTGTGGCACAGCCCAGGCGGCCCCACTGCTGGGTTTTAGGGAGGAGACGACAGCTCAGGGTCCCCAGATCTGTGTTGGCCTGGGTGCAGACTCTGATAAATGAGCCTGAGGTCTGTGAGCCCCTTTGGGGAGCAGCCTCGGGTTGTTGGTGCCCAAGATGAGCCCAGAGCCCTGGAGCTGGCTCCTTGCAGGGAACAAGAGCAGCTGGGAGCAGGATGAGCCTGTAGGGGAAGGAGAGCTGGTACCAGACACGGTCGGTCGGTGGCGGGGGGATGTTCACGGCCAGGGTTCCTGCCAGCTCCTGCACCTCCACCGTCAGCAGCAGCGGCGTGTTGGAAACCTCCTCCATCTTCTTCTTGATGAACTCATTCTCCGTGGCCCTCTGGAAGTATTTGGACTTGGCAATCTTATCCACGAAGCGCAGGATCCTCCGGCTCGTGCTGTTGCCGCTGACGTGGCTAAAGCAAGAGGGGTCCCAGCTCAGCCCTGCTGGGTTTTGGGCACCCCTGGCCCTCTGCCACAGCACCCTACAGGGACAGATCCCCGCTGGAAGCTGCCAGGATGTGCTGTGTGTGTCCTGCTGGGGACACCGGCCCCGTGCCCCTGTGCTGATGTGGCACCGTGCATCCCCAGCCCCCCATGGCACAGACCCCCAGCACCCCCTTACCCCTCGGTGCCAGGCGGGGGGAGCCGCTCCCCCGGCGCTCCCAGGGGCTCTGCAGTGCTCACATCCTCCTCGTCGGAGGAGCCGGCGCTGGACGACTCGGCATCGCTGTCTGCCAGCAGGATCAGCCGTGGCCTGGCCCTGCGAGCCCCAGCACATCACGGGCTGCTCTGGGGACAGCGGCCTTGCCTCACTGGGGCAGGAGGAGCAGGATGAGCCCATCCAGGGATGGATTCCTTACCCCTCTCTGCCTGCCTCTGCAGGGCCGCTCTCCTCTGCAGAGCTCTCCTTCCCCAGCTTGCTGAGGTTCATCTTTGTCTCCAGCGTCATCTGCAAGGAGCCGCTGTAGGTGACCTCCATGTCCACCCAGAGCCCTGCCAGGGAGAGGGACAGGGCGAGATCAGGTCAGCACCACAGAGGTCAGAGCTGCTTGTGCACTGCCAAACCCTCCCAGCTTTGGGGACGGGGCTGGCAGCTCCGTAAAGCCGTCCTGGAGCCAGCACTGGGGTCTCTGTCCCTCTGAGGAGCTCTTACCTCGTTCATTGATGGTGGGGTTGGAGGCACTGAGCACTGAGGGGATGGATGTGCCCATGTCCAGCTCTGTCAGTGTCAGCTCATTCATGAAATATGGGAGCTGATGGAAAGAAACCCCCATGGGGGACAGTCACACTCGCCCTGGGGCCTTGGGAACAGGGCTCCCCCGAGGGATCTGATGCTCCTGCCTCTCACCTTGATCTTGCTCAGCTTCTTCTGGATCTTGTTGGACACCTGCTCTGCCCAGTACTGCTCCCGGAGGAAGTCCCAGAAGATGCGCCCCACCAGCGCGTTCATCCAGGCCATGCTCGCCGTGTCCTCGCTGAGCTGCGGGGGGACAGCAGCCACCAGCCCCCGCAGCGAGGTGGCCCCGTGAGCAGTGGGACCTTCTGTCCTGTGCTCCCCTGCCCCAGGGCTTGGCTGCTCCAACAAACCACGGGCTGGAGGCGGCTCCGTGCGGGGTCCTTCAGCCTCCGCTTGGTGCTCAAGTCCCGCTCCCAGCGCGGGGTTTGTCCCGCTCACCTTTGTAGGTGTGGGGCTGCCCAGAGCTCCGTGAGAGGGGCTCCTGTCCGGGCTGGCAGCCGCCTGTGCTGGCACGAATCGGGCCATGTAGGTGCTGTAATCCAGGTAAATCTCCTCAGCGCTTCCCGACACGTCCGTGGCTGGATCCGTGGATGGGATGTCCTCGGCGCTGCTGCTGCTGCTGCTCTGCGGAGCCGATCCCATGCCTGGGGGTGTGGAATCACAGCATCGTTTAGCTTGGAAAACCCCTCTGATGCCCTCAACCCAAGCATTCCCCAGCACCGCCCAGGCCAGCACTGACCCGTGTCCCCAGGAGCCACATCCACATGGCTTTAAGTCCCTCCAGGGACTGGCACTCCACCCTTGCCCTGGGCAGCTGTGCCAGGCCTGGACAGCCCTTTTGGTGAAAGAATCGTTCCCAATACCCAATCTGTTTGCTCAGGATGGCATCAGGGATGACATGACGCCAGTGACATGCCACCCACCCTCTGCTGACGAGCTGAACCCTCTTGGCTACACTTTGGGCTCCTCCGTGTCCCTCCACGCTGATGGCTGCCCACCAAGGAATTGTGTTCCTGGACCAGCCCTGGCTCAGAGCAGAGGCCGTGCTGGCTGCCCCTCACCTGCCCTGGTGTCACCGTGGCTGCCGGCTGTCCCACGGGAGGCTTGCACGAGGTGCTGGTACCACTCCTCCTTCTCCCGCCCCGTCCGCCCAAACAGGTACAGACACCTGTCCCTGCAGTCCCCTGGCATGTCCTGCCCGGACACCGGCACCTTCCCGGTCCCCTCATCCCCCTGCAGCTCCGCGTCGTGCTCCTCCCTGCTGCTGCCCTCTCCCTCGGCCGGCTCGGGGAGGAGGACACAGATGGGATATTTCTTGTTCCACGTCCTCTTTCGGGCCAGGCTGGGGGGGCACAGGAAGACCTGCAGCACCGAGAGCGGGGTGAGGCCGGGCCAGGCGTGCCGGGGTCCCCGTGGGAGGGTTCCGGGGGTCTCCAGGCTCACCTTGGCGTCGGTCAGGTCGTAGCAGCGGTGGCTGACGAAGACGGCGTCCAGGATCTCCTCCTCGAAGGTGGCTCGGCGTGGGATGTTGCTTTTGGGGTAGGACAGCTTGAGGGTGGCCCCGTCCAGCACGGCGAGCACCGAGTGCGTGAGCGATGGGTGGAAAATCTCGGGGTCGTACACGTGCAGCTGGTTCATCCAGCCCTGGAAAAGGGGGAACAGGAGCCGGCTGCTTCCCGCTCACCAAGCCGGGGATCCCTCCCCTCCCTTCCCCTCCCTCTCCTACCTGGAGGTGGGGGGGTTCCCGCGGCTCCCCCGGGAGCAGCTTGGGGCGCAGGCGGCCCCAGGGTCCCCGAGCGGCCGGGGGAGCCTTGGGCACGAGGAGGAGGATGGCGAGGAAGCCCAGGAGCAGCCCGCAGAGCAGCCCCAGGCAGAGCCCGGCGGCGTAGGGCGGCAGCGGCAGCACCAGGTACCCATAGGCGAGGAGGGCGATGGAGGCGAGCGCTCTGCCCGGCACGGAGCCCCCGGACCTCGCCGGGGGAGCCTCCTCGGGAGGTGGCAGCGGGGCTTCGGTGTCTCTCTGCGCCACCTCCACCACCTGGATCACGTCCCCGTAGGAGCAGATCTCGTAGCGGCAGTTCAGGGTGGGCTCCCAGGGCGTCCAGTCCCGCACCCGGCGGGTCCCGGCCCCGCCGCTGCCCCCCGGCTCCTTGGCCCGGCCCGTGGGGCTGCTCTCCTCGGCCATGAGGCGGCTGAGGCGGCTCAGGGGCTCCT